CTAGACTTTGGTCTAAAACAAAACACTCTATAACCATTCTTAACTATTTGAGTGAGAGCTTCAGTCGGTGGCCTAATGCTGCTGTTTTTGAAAGCAGGTGCCTTTAATAAATCAATGTTCTCCTGTGCCACCACACGAGTACAGCCGAACGATGAGCCTGACAGCCCATTATTTGGGATTATGGTGTTCTTATTAATGCGGTTTGTCACACTAACTTGCTCTGAGCCTTGTTTTATCGATGAAGGCAGAGAACAGTGTCAACACATGATGAAACACCCACTTTTAATTATAGGAAGAATTATGCAGCTAGTGTTATTGACAGAATTAATGCATTGGTTCTACTCAGCGGAATTCAGGTCCATGTTTCTCTATCAAAGATTCTGACGGTGTTTTTGCCTTGTCAGCATTTCCTTAACACAATATATTCCTGCTGGCATGGCAAACCCTCTGAACCAGCATTTTAATAACCAAACTAATGCATGGGCTACTGTACAGGATCCTGTAATCCTTTTAAGCACAAATCAATTCAGTTGAAATAGTTCATGAACTATACAACAGGATTAATTTACAGATGTTTCATTTCTGTAAAATGTAGCTGATCCAATTTGTTTCAAGCTAAAAGAATTGACTTTTAAGTTAAAATAACAATTAAAGTCAGTTTGAATTATATTTTAATACAAATCTAATCATGCACTCAGCCTTGTTTTAGAGATATGTAATATTTTAGTGCACAGACCCATGTTTTTACTCATTTGAATCTGTTGGCTGCAGGTTCAAGCAGATCTCAGATCAGTTTTTAGCTCAGAATAATTTAGCTAAATGTTGCAAATAATAGTAAGTAGCTAAGTAAAAAGGCTAAATGTTGAAGAGAAATTCCAAATTTCCAAAAACATTACAAAACTATTTATAACTTTCCAACATTTTGGAAGCTAAGTCATTATTGTTTGCCAAAATCCCAAAATGGTTGGCATATTTTAAGGAAAGTAGGATAAAATGCATTGGCACCAATTTTTCATTCACTAGTGTATTTCATGATAGAAAACAGGCCCTGAATTTCATACTTTAAAGTAAACGTCAATGGTATTTTTACTAAACCTATAACTCCATACCATACCATACCATACCACCTTTATTTATATAGCACTTTAAAACACAGCCATGCGGCTGACCAAAGTGCTGAACAGTCGCACAATAAAAGTGATAAAAAACATAAAACAGTATTATAAAATACAGCCAACAATAAAAAAAAAAGACAAGCCGATAAAAAAGTACCAATAAAACCTTACAGTGGATGATAAAATAAGAGTAGTAAAAGCCAAACTAGCAGCTAACTGTTAAAAGCAAGGGTAAAATAGTGTCTTTAGTCTAGACTTAAAATCTGCCAAGGTGGATGCCAGTCGAACTGTGACTGGAAGTTCGTTCCACAGTTTAGGACCGGCAACAGAGAAAGCTCTTTGTCCGCATGATTTGTAACATGCTTTCGGGACCTCGAGGAGCAACAGGCTGGAGGACCTGAGTGTGCGACCGGGAGTATAAATTGAAAGAAGGCCAGATAAGTACACAGGGGCAAGACCATGGAGGGATTTGAAAACAAAAAGTAGCATTTTATATTGGACCCTGAAAGTGATGGGCAACCAATGAAGGGATTTGAGAACTGGTGTTATATGCTGGCGCCTGTCAGAACGTGTGAGGAATCTAGCAGCTGCGTTTTGAACGAGTTGATGTCGGGCAAGGGTTGACTTATTGACACCCAGCAAAACTGCATTTGAGTAGTCGAGCCTAGATGTGATGAAGGCATGAACAACTGATTCCACATTTTTTCTAGATAAAACAGCTCTTAATTTGGACTGATGACGGAGTAGGAAAAAACAAGATTTTACAGTGGCATTGACCTGGGCGTCCATCCTTAGAGATGAATCCATCTTTACACCCAGGTTTGTCACAACAGTTTTTAGATTTTGAGAAATAGATGAAAGATCTGGGGTTTGGAATGAGCTAGATCAGACCGGATTAAACCGGATCAGTTCAGTCTTGGAATCACGTAGGCAGTCTAGAAGAGGCTGGATGGATTGTTGGGGTTTCACCGACATGTAAATCTGACAGTCGTCAGCATATAAGTGATATTGAACAGAGTTTTTTTTAGGATTAAGCTGAGGGGAAGGAGATAAAGACAAAACAACAAAGACCCCAGAATAGATCCCTGCGGGACCCCACACGAGAGAGGAGTAGAGCGAGATGAGATGATGTTCAACACCACCCGTTGGGACCTGTTAGACAAATAAGACCTAAACCAAGTTAGGGCTGGACCACGTATTGCAGCAACCTCCTCTAAGCGTGATAAAAGGATGTCGTGGTCGACGGTGTCAAAGGCGGCGGACAGATCAAGAAGTAATAACACAGCATAGGAGCCAGAATCAGTAGCCATAAAAATGTCATTGAAGACACAGAGGAGAGAGGACTCAGTGCTGTGCAGGGGTCGAAAACCTGACTGAAAGACATCCATTATGTTATGATCGGCGAGATGAGTTGATAGCTGATCATAGACCATAATTTGTTCTTTTTAAACACAGAAACAGTTTTGTTTACCTGTTTCGTAGCTACAGTTTCACAGACGGCTGCCAGCTTCTTCAGGCGTCCGTCGGCGAAACTGTAGCTACAAAACAGGTAAACAAAACTGTTTCTGTGTTTAAAAAGAACGAAAGCATGGAATTAGAACCACGACACAGCAAGAACACACCTAAGATGATCATAGACCACCTTCTCCATAATTTTTGACAGAAATGGAAGCTTGGAAATAGGGCGATGATTAGAAAGAACCGAGGCGTCAAGGCCTGGTTTCTTTAGAAGCGGCTGAACCACAGCATGTTTGAAGACAGGGGGTACAACACTGGAAATAAGACTGGTATTGACAGAGTGTAGGATATAATGACCTATAGCTGGGAACACCTCTTTCAGGAGGCGCGAAGGAAGGATGTCATCTTGAGAAACAGATGGTTTCATCGACAGAAGCAAAGATTGCAGGCATGGAAGTGAAATAGGTTCAAAGCTGAGGAAGGGCGCTGTCTTAAAGGTTAAGGTAGGAAGGGTGTGCAGAGGGAGTGATAAGCTAGCCCTGATAGAGGAAACCTTATCAGAAAAGAAATCTAGAAACTGATCTGGGAGATTTGGTGCAATAACTGAGCAGTTGGACTCGTGAGGAACGAGAACTGAATTAATAGTTTTGTAAAGAACTTTTTGATTGGACCGGTTTGCAGAGATAATTTTATAGAAGTAATAGCTTCTGGCATGCATAACTGCTTGTTGATATTTGGACCAGAGGTCTTGCAAAATCTGATATGAAATCTGGAGGTGGTCTTTTTTCCATTTGCGCTCAGCCTGTCTACAAAGTTTTCTCAAACTTCGAGTATGAGAGTTGAGCCAAGGGTCAGATTTATGTTTGGAGTGAGCAGGTTTCAGAGGAGCAACAGAATTTAAGACTGTAAGACATTTATCATCAAAAAAAGCGATTTGATCATCCAGGCAAAGCTGACTAGGCAGATCAGCCACAGAAAAAGCACTGACAAAAGAACCTGCTGTTTCAGAGTTAATGATGCGCCGTAACGAACGTGATGGGCAAAGTGAATGATAGTTTACAGGTAAAAAAAATCAAAAGAAATAAGCATATGATCAGACCAGCAGACTTCTAAAAGAGATAGATCATTTAACAACAGACCAGATGAGAGCACAAGGTCGAGAGTATGTGAGTGTACATGAGTTAGAGCATTTACAGACTGGGTCAAACCGAAAGCATCAATTAGACCAAGAAAATCTGTGACAAATGGTTTTTCCAGACAGCAGATGTGAATATTAAAGTCTCCAAGAATGAGAACACGTTGATATCGAGCAAAAATCTCAGCTAAGAGAGCAGAGAAATCAGTTATGAAGTTCTTATTGTATGGGGGGGGGGTTGCCAGTTCAAAAGCACTCAGTTCAAAGGAGGTAATTTCGGTGGAAAAAGAAAAAGGATTTGAGGTAAATGAAGATTTGAAAATAGTTAAAAGGCCCCCTCCACGGCCGCAAAAGCAAAAGGACCCTCGGGGCAGCAATCTGCTTTCAAGTGAACACTGTTTGATGCAAATGAATAATCTGTAAGCACCCAATTAGCCAAATACCTGGGGTTTACCTCTGCCTTAGATAGATGAATCAGCAGAGCAAACACTTAATTTCCTTTCATTTAATGGAGATTTCTGCTTCTAATTATGACCTGTCTAAATCAACAAAAATAAAAATCAGTCAGTTGTTTTTTTCTTGTTGACATTGTATTCACAACAGAAAGGAGGAGCTGAAAGGTTCAGCTATGATGCAATGTGTGAGATATTGTTTTTTTACCCCCCTGATTTCCAGTCAAAATGGTTGTTTCATATTTGATCTCTGTTAGCCTGAGTCATGTTCTGTATTTCAGGGATTTAGCTAAAGGCTTCCTCTGCAGCGAACAGGAAAATCACTGACCCACATTAGTTTTAATTGCAGGAACCTTTGAAAGCATTGAACTGTGTGAAGACAGGAATGCACACTGTGGACATTGACAGGACATCTACTGGTGGACCGTGGTTATTGCCTTTTCTTTTGTATTTGCTTGCATCTATTCACAAAGTTCTTTGTTCATCAGGACTTTCTTTGTGTGTCTGTATAAATAATAATAATAATAATAATAATAATAATAGTTGTCGTTGTTGCTGTTATAATTAATATTATTAGAGTTGTTAGAAATCGAAAATAAAGCTGAAATAATAATAAAAAAATTCCATAAAAATAAAATTAAAAATATTTTACAAACTGAACTGCTCACATATACACGCATTTTTTCTTATTGAATGAGTCACTTAACAATGTTTAATTGATATATTCTAATCTTTTTTTTTTCTTTTTCATTTATTTTAGAAGGATTGAAAAAAATCACGGCATTAAAAGTCACGCTTGCGTAAATTATTCTGGGGGTCCTTTGTGGGTCCTTCAGGCGCCTCGGACACATATTTCATTCTCTTCTCTGATTGGTTGCCTCACAGCTTCGCAGTAAAACAGCGCTAGCTGTCACTAGAGGAGAGAAGACAGATTACTTTTTATCATTTTCTCCACCGCAACGATGTCTGAGGAACGGTCTGAAAGATCGGATGGGCGGATTGTGAAGATGGAGGTCGACTACAGCTCAACTGTAGACCAGCGACTCCCAGAATGTGAAAAAATGGCTAAAGTGAGTGGCGTTTAGAAAGAGGCCAGCCGCCCTGGCTGAGTCATGATGCTGTGGGATCGGTGCGTTAGCATCAAGCGCTACCAGCTTTAGCACTGCCTGCAAAGTTACCATAACCAAACATACGTTGCTTTGAACGTTCCTAAAGTAACTCTTAATTTGTAACTGGTCCATATGTAAAGTTTTTTTCATTCTTACGGAAGGTGTTTGTTCAACTCTGAACGTTAACATTTCGTTAGCATTTCGGGCTTTTAGCTAAAAAATTAGCTAACCAGCTACAAAGACACCAGACATTTTTGCACCGTTTTGTTTTGGAAGAGGATCTTTTAAAGGTCATGTTTAAATGTATTTTTTTCCTGCTGCAGGAGGGGAAGTTGCAAGAGGCCATCGAGAGTTTGTTGTCACTGGAGAAGCAAACGAGAACTGTAAGTCAAATCATCGGACTGCTGCTAGGTTTACCTTTAAAGTATCCAAGAATAATAAACTGTGAGGCATTTCATGATCATACGTTTCCTTTTAGTAAAAGTACACTAGAGCCATGGTTCTGTTTTTAAATGATCAGAATTTCTTATAAGTGTTTCTGATCAAAGTAGTTTGGCTCACTTTCATTTACAGGGTTTTTAATGGGTGCTTGAAATTGTAGAAAATGCTTGGATTTTAATGGGGTATTTTCACTGTTTTATGCTTTAAAACGTATTAAGTTTTACCTTTAGAAGACAGGAAAGATAATTATTTGAACCATGATCATGTTTCTGCAAGTCATCGCCAACAAAAGATGCTGGAAATTTTTATTATAGTCTGAAATTGCTTTAAATTTACTTGAATTTGGTTTGTGCAAAATGTGGAAGAAACATGAATTCAAGTAGCTCTTGATTTTTTGCCTGTGCCAGGTAATATAATTAGTGTTTAGTCCATTTGATTTACAATGATACAGGGGGAGGTCAGCTCTTTGAGATGTGAGAAAGTCTCTTGACTCTAATATTTTGACCACATTATGCTGCATTCTGTTACAGATCTTTTAAAGCTTAAACATTTGCTTTATTTAGTTTTTGGTCTCTGGTTGGTCTGTAAACATGATTAATGCCATAAAATGTGCCCAAATTTGAAAGACTGACATTTGTTGCTTTACCTTTTCTCATTTTCAATACTATTCATGTGTTTTCGGTTTGTGACAGTTTTTTTCTGCTTGTCCTCAGGCCTCAGACATGGTGTCCACATCCAGAATCCTTGTAGCTGTGGTTCAGATTTGTTATGAAGCCAAGGACTGGGATGCCCTGAATGAAAACATCATGTTGCTCTCCAAAAGGAGGAGTCAGCTCAAACAGGTTACTACTGCTTTTGCACAAATAGATGTTTCCAACAAGTTTTCACCCCTTTGCTTTTAAAACGTTCAGCTTCTAAAGACCCTTTTAGTAAAAAAAAAAAAGATTTAGCAGTTTTCAGTTTCTGCAGAACATTTGATTCACTTTTAAAATGAACTTCTCTGAATTGTCCCTGGTGCTTTTACAGAGCTGCTGAATGTAATATTTTAGTCGTGCTTGGTTGGATTTTTGTTACGAAGACCCTAATCTACCGTTTCTTGTGCTCTTTGTTTCAGGCTGTAGCCAAAATGGTGCAAGAATGTTACAAATATGTCGACGCAGAGACTAACCTGGACATCAAGCTGAGGCTTATCGACACACTTCGCACTGTGACTGCTGGCAAGGTTTGTAATCCGTTATAAAGAAATAACATCAGCTAGATGCCATGCGGTGCAAAGGAAATATCGTAGGAGATTCATTTCCACCGACGATTTATAAATAGATGTTGAGCAATTCAAAGACATTTGCAGCTTGTGTTTAAAGTGAGGAATTTTCACCCTTATTATCCAACAGGCTTTTTGATCTTGGCTTGTGAAGATCTTTTTGTGTCATCAGTAAATTGCTTCTGCTCCAATGTTTATTGAACTCATTTTAAATCCCACGACATCCAGTTTAAATGGACAGCGTCTCTTTCATAGATCTACGTTGAGATCGAGCGTGCTAGGCTAACGAAGACGTTGGCAAACATCAAGGAGCAGAGCGGGGATGTCAAAGAGGCTGCTGCCATTCTGCAGGAGCTGCAGGTTGGGAATGTTTTTGTTTTACCTCGGGTATAAGTGAAGTATATAAAGTAGCCGGCTGCCATAAAGGAGATCTACTTATGAACAAGAGAGTTGTTGGCATCTATGCTCTTCTTGCCTGTCAGGTGGAGACGTATGGCTCCATGGAGAAAAAGGAGAAGGTGGAGTTCATCTTGGAACAAATGAGGCTTTGCATTGCTGTCAAGGATTACATTCGCACTCAGATCATCAGTAAGAAGATTAACACCAAATTCTTCCAAGAGGAGGGCACTGAGGTGCGAGAGCAGGAATGATACAGGACGTTAAAATAAACGAACGATTGGATGTGATTAATTTATAACGGTATTCTATTTTAACTCACAACTCAGGAGTTGAAGTTGAAGTATTACAACCTGATGATCCAGGTGGATCAGCATGAGGGCTCCTACCTGTCCATATGCAAGCACTACAGGGCCATTTATGACACCCCCTGCATCCTGGAGGACAGCAGCAAGTGGCAGCAGGTACCGACTCTCCCTGGTTTTTGACAAAATTGTTTGTTTTTGCTGTCATCATACAGCTTCATCAAGTTTGGAAATTAGAAGTTTTCCTGGAAAGTGTTAAATTCAACAACTTCTGCTAAAATGTAGTGTTAGGAAATTCTGCCATATTCATGTTTTAGTTATGGACGAAGAGACGGCACTGTTGATTGTACTTTATGGATGCTGAGTGAATTGTTTCAACATAAATGGTAAATGGCCTGTATATGATATAGTGTCATGGAACCCCCCAAGGCGCTTTACAACACAATCAGTCATTCACTCATTCACACACACATTCACACACTGGTGGGGATGAGCTACGATGTAGCCACAGCTGCCCTGGGGCGCACTGACAGAGGCGAGGCTGCAGAGCTCTGGCGCCACCGGTCCCTCCGACCACCACCAGCAGGCAGCGTGGGTTAAGTGTCTTGCCCAAGGACACAACAACAGCGACAGACCGAGCAGGGCTCGAACCTGCAACCTTCCGATTACAGGGCGAGCACTTAACTCCTGTGCCACCGTCACCCCAACATGGATTTTACTAATATTTTTAACCAGAGTTTCCAACATATAGATCATAGCAACTTTTGATTATTGACAACAGCAGGTCACGTGGTAAAAAATATTCTAAATCTGATTTAAACAAGTACCTTTTACTGTCAGAAATGACATAAACTACTATTATTTTACAATAATTAAGACACTACAGATCTGATCCCACTCGTTAAGCTTGAGCAGTTAAACAGTAAATCCCACTGGTTGTTTAACTTTAAATAATTTACTTTGATTTCCCAAATTACTTAAAACAATGACGAGTACCTTTCAGATCCGCAACAATCTTCAGTTTAGTGATCACGTTCTTTTCTTTTGCCCTCAGGTTAATGAAGAAATTAGTTTTTTATATCAATATACAAGTCTTGATTGTAGACATTTGGTCAATCACAGCTTTTCGTTCATTTGGACGTACCATCTATGCTCCTCCCTGGTTCTTATGTCTAAGTTTACTGCTTGGATGCCATGTTGCAGGAGTATTCAGTTCTGGGCCTGGAGAGTCCGTATCCGGCATGTTTTTTGTTTAAAGGAGACCTAGAATGTAAACCACCATTTCCCTTTTTGTTGTTGAATGAAGACGTCTTGGGCGGTCAAAAGTAGCATGGCAAAAAGTCAAAGCCGTGTGTGACCTACTTTTTGTCTAATTTGGCGAGAGGAAAACTTTTCTGAGCAAGATTTCCTAGTAACGTCAGAAGGTAGCCACTCCTGCTATGGCGACATGTTCCAACCCACTTCAGCATTATTTAAACGCTGGTCGCAGCAACGCTACCGCAGAGCCACGATAAGCCGGGCTTTCTCAGCTCTCCTGGGACATTTTAAGCGCCAACAAAATTTAATATGCTTTATAGAGACTAAAGACCTACTGATTAAGTGCATTAAACTCATCACATCTGATTTCAATCAGTAGGTGATTAACAGGCTTCTGCAGATCCCGATGAGCTGCTGCACAGGTGATTCATCCACTGGATCAAGTGTGTTGGAGCTGAGAAACCATTAAAATGTGCTGGAGACCGGCCTTCCAGGTAGAGCCCTGCACTGAAGCCCTAGGTCCTCGGGTCGGCCCGGGCTTCGGGCCAACGACTGTGTAATTACCTCGGGGCCGGGCCAGGCGCTTTTATTTTTAATCGAATTCATTTAAAATAAATAAAACTGAAACACTTGAACGCAGCAGCACCTGCCTGCTTCTCACGCACCGGCACCGTTAACTCGGTTAAGGTGTGTGTGGTTTATAAATGCGCCGATATAAACGAATTCTCAAACTGCTGATTGAAACATGTGCCCCTATTCTAATACCATTTTATGTCCACTTTGATGTCAGAAAGCATTCGTTTATTCTCATGAAAACGGCAGCATTCTATTTTTCTGTGAATAAATTCGCTCTGCAGTTAAAAAAAATACAGCATTCATTGCTGGGTTTTTTTCTAACTGGAGAGCGCATTTTCAGAGCGGCAGATAAAATTTACAAACACTATAATAATTGGGAACGCATATTTAATCTGCTGCTCTGAAAATGCGCTCTGCAGTTAGATAATTAGAATGCTGCCTTTTTTTCTAATTGCACAAGAGCGCATTTTCAGAGCAGATTAAATTTACCAACGCATCCAATTAATATAGTGTTCGTAAATTTCATCTGCCGCTCGGAAAAAACGCTCTGTTAGAAAATAAAAGCTGCATTGATGCTGATTTTCTTTCTTTTCTTTCTTTCTTTTTTTTTTACTGCAGAACGCTTCTCACAGATAATTAGAACGCTAAAACATTATGAAAGGTTAAAAAAAAAAGTCGGGCTCGGGTCGGGCCAGAGAATCCTGAAAACCTTTTCGGACCGGGTCGGGCTGGGGCTCCACCCCCTCGGGCCGGACACGGGCTCAGATTTTAGGCCCGTGCAGGGCTCTACTTCCAGGCCCGGAATTGAATGCTCCTGCTATGTTTTAATTTATTTTTTGTTTGCTGATGTTGGAACTGAATTATTTCCTTGGAGTTGGTATAGAATGAACGTATGAATGAATGAATGTTTGTGGGTTACAGTTTTAATTTTGTTTGATGTTTGTTTTGTGTTTATTTACTGAAACCTCTAGTCAGTTGTCTTGTAGTTTTTCTATTCTGTTGCATGTAAAGGAAACCAAAAGATGGCTCATCTCCAACATAAATAAAAAATATGTATATAATTGTATATTGTATATTTTAATACTGTTGTTTTTGCAGGCCCTGAAAAGTGTGGTTCTGTACGTGATCCTGTCTCCTTATGATAATGAGCAGTCGGACCTTGTGCACAGAATCAGTGCCGACAAGAAATTGGAAGAAATCCCTAAATACAAGTAAGACTTTCTGTCTCTCAGTGTTTGGTCTCTATTAATAATACCGTATAAATACACTTCCTGGTCAAAAAATAAGTTGTTCCTGGTTTAACTAAGCAAACACGTGTGAGCCTCCTATTGGATCATTTATGCATGAGTGATTATCTTCCAGCTGGCAACAAGTTATTTAACCCCAACTGGTGCAATGAGTTGCTTCTCATTTCTTAAACAACCGTGTGCAAAGACACATCTGGTGGTCGTGGAAAAGATGTTCATCTGTTGGAGAAGGGTCAGATCATTGGCATCAAGCAGAGGAAACATCTAAGGAGATTGCAGAAACGAACAAATCTGGGTTAAAAACTGTCCAACGCACTATTAAAACTGATCTGGTGAGTCCAGATGGACCCTGTTCCAGAGTGATGGTGCATCAGGGTAAGAAGGGAGGCAGATGAAGTGATGCACCCATCATGTTTAGTGTCTACTGCACAAGCCTGCGGAGGCAGTGCTATGATCTGGGATTGCTGCAGTTGGTCAGGTCTAGGTTCAGCAACAGGATGTGCTCTAATGGGCCATTCCCATTTGTACCGGGTCGGCCCGGGCCGGGTAGCCCCGGTCGGCCCCAGCCTGGCCCGTTTGATTCCACACATCCTTGCCTTAAGCCCATGTGGGCTGATTCTACCCACCAATCAGAGGCTTGCTCTAATGGAAGGTGTGAATTTGCTGTCAGCAGTGGGTGTGTTGGCCCTGGTCGGCCTGAAGCAGACCCCCTCGAGAAGAGGGCTGAGAATGAGCCTTGGTTGGCCCGGAAAAATACCAGGCCACCCAGATATGTAAACAACCTACGCTACCCGGCCCGGGCCGACCCGGTACAGATGGGAATGGCCCATAAGAATGAGGTCAGCTGACTATCTGGATATAATAAATGACCAGGTTATTTATTCCACCTTCCCTGATGGCACGGGCATCAGAAGCAACAATCTCATATTTTGACATAAAGTGCTTAGAGATGACGCCTAAGATCATCTTCCTCTCTTCCCAGGGACCTTCTAAAGCAGTTCACCACCATGGAGCTGATGCGCTGGGCCTCGCTAGTGGAGGATTATGGGAAGGAGCTGAGAGAGGGCTCAACTGACAGCCCAGCCACCGATGTGTTCTCCTATTCAGAGGAGTCGGAGAAAAGGTGGAAGGATCTCAAGAACAGGGTGGTGGAGCATGTAAGTCACTCCAGGAAGAACCAAATGATTGGGAACTTAATACATTTTTTACTAAAATGTGAGTAAATGTAATCATGAGGTTCTTCCTTGTTCCTCAGAACATCAGAATAATGGCAAAATACTACACCAGAATCACCATGAAAAGGATGGCAGGACTTCTTGACCTCTCTGTCGATGTAAGCAAACACCACGCACAAACGAAAACACTTTAAACTTGTTTTATTTTCAGGATTCAAGCTCACAAAAAGCCATTTTAAAATCTTCTTTCACCTCCAATACCCTTCAGGAATCTGAGGAGTTCCTCTCCAGTCTAGTTGTGAACAAAACCATCTACGCCAAGGTGGACCGACTCGCTGGAATCATCAACTTTCAGAGGCCCAAAGACCCCAACGACCTGCTCAACGACTGGTCACACAAACTCAACTCCCTCATGTCGCTGGTCAACAAGACCACACATCTTATTGCCAAGGAGGAGATGATCCACAACTTGCAGTAACACAAGAACAGTATAATATTTTATATTTTGTTTCATATTCACCTTTTGTTTATGTGGGCTGGGAGGGGTGTGCTGTAGAAAATGACATATTTGTTTTTACTGTTCAGTAAAACGTTGACAATAAACATGAGCACCTCCCGTTTTCCTGCATCTCTGTTAATTCATCCGGATTTACGGAAATGTCTCAAGTTCTGCAAAATATGGTTATTCATTAGATTTGGTATAATTGCCATGAAGAAAAGATGACTATCGTTTTCAGTTTGCTTTTGGCTGTGTGAACTCTAAACACGTGCGTGTTTTGTAGTGTTTGGATTCTGTTTTTATTATGTAAAGCCCTGGAAACGTGACTATAAAAGCTAGTAAGTGCACCCTGAAAATTACACAAATTTAATTTTATTGTGTGAAAACAGAAATCCTGATTAAATGTTATTGGGATCAGTCACATGCAAGCTTTGGTGGTTCCAGGGGCGGAGCCACAAGGACATTGGCACCTGCTGAAATCGATTGGTCCCCTGAAGAGCCCCTGTCCTGTCACTCATCTATCCTTTGTGCAATGTCCAGAATATAGGTGGTGCTAAATAAACCTAATGGGAATTCCCAGCGTGGAGTCTTGTGTAAGCGTGTTGGACAAATTCCTGGCTCCTCTACAAATATGGCCTCCACTAGATGACGCACTCAAATTCCTAGATTTTGCCGCTGCTCTCAAGTGGACTAATAAAGCAGATCCTTAATAAACAAAGTATATTGTTCGACCAACTGGAAGTAGGTTTTATTTTTTGCTTTTCAGCTGCTTATTAATATGTGTGACTTTTTACAGACTACTGTCCTGTTGCGCAGTGACAGTAAATCTATTTTTATCTGTGTGTGATGTTATTGTGTGCAATGGCCTATTAGCTTTAGTGCCAATTGGTTTATTTTTGTCTCAGTTTTTTTATTTAGTCATTTCACTTATGTGTTAAACTTATATTTAAATCTTAAAATAGCATTTCAGGATTTTATAAACTATTCTTAGACGGAGACACTTTTAAATTACTGAAAATGTAGGGGGACTTTTCCACTTGCATAAAATATTTCCCCCCCTTCTGAGAAACATTTAGCAGCGACAGTGCTGCTATGTTATCTTTGCCGATGTGATGTAAAAATAAACATTTGTTTGTAGTTCTTGCTCCAGGTTTGTATGTACTTTTAAATTAATAGGGATTTTTTTAAATGACTTTTACTTGTAATAGAGTACAAAAACTACTTTTACACAAGTAAAGGATCTGAGTACTTCCCCATCACTCACTGTAATCATCAAACTGAATCCTTGCAGGTTGTAAAAGCCTCAGCATTTGGAGACGCGTCATTTTTCACATGAAAAATTCCCACAAGCAAAGCCGCGCGCCCACGCACGCGCACCCCCCCCCCCCCCCCCCCCCCCCCCCAAGTCCCCTCAACCTTCAGACCAGCACGTCCCACTATGCTTTGCGATGGTCTGACAAGTGGATCCAAGATGGCGTAGAAAGTAAAGCTAGGTGAGTGTTGACTTCCCATTTTTAGCCGTTTTAGTTGTCTCTAGCATCGCAAAGCCACCGACAAGGACCCCTTCTCTAAATGACTAGAGTAACGAGGAATGTTTCGAGCTCGTGCACGGCTAACACCAAGGTGTCATGTGATTTATGTGCGGCTAAACACCGTGGCGAAATTTCAGGCCCGAACCCGTTTTGTTTCGGCGAACCTAGCTAGCCAAGCCTGCTAACACGAAGAAACTAGCCAGCTATTCTTGTTGTAAGCTGGCCAGTTTGGTGCCAAGAACGGCTCCTGTTTTCGCGGGCGCGCTCAATGCTAGCTACGCAGTCTAGCAGCAACATTGTTCAACTAATGCAAAAAAAGAGAAGTTAGCAAACACTGGGGGGACATTTTTCAGGGCAGTTTGTTGCGCTGCCGTCATCGCTCTGATTTGCGGCAGTCATAAGTTTGCCTCACAAACAACTACAACTATCCGCTGAAAAAGAAGTGATCCCCGTTTGTCCACGTTTATAAATACGCAATCTCTTATTTTTTAAATAAATTAAGCACGTTTGAATGTACTCCTTTTTCAGTTTTCTCCACAGTGTTGCTAACGATGCTGCCAGACGTAATAAATAACGTTATATGTCAGCATGAGAGAAGTTGACGTGCCATTTTAATTGTTCTCAGCCATAAAATCACCCGCTCTTCCACTCAACAGAACACAAAAATGTTTCTCCTGCTCTTTGATCGCATGACTCCAAAAGAGGAAGGTGGACACCTACTTCCAAACTGCTGGTTTCTGCCTTAGTGACCTGGGAGTTCAGACACGAGGCACGGGATTTGACTACAGCTCAAGCAGAGGTGTTAACTGGGCTAATAGCTCTCAAATAACTGGTTTATTTTGGATCCCACTTTCTATCTCCCATCAGTAAACATTGGTCTCTTATATTCAAACTACTTTCAACACAAATTCTTCTTTGCACCCACTTTGCTGCGTTATTTTACTGGTGAGAATGTTGTGCAAAAGCTGCTAAATTTGATCTCGTATTGGTTTGTTTTTTTATTGGAATGCACAGGAAACACCATGCCAGCTTGAGCTGCCCTAACTGTGATCTGTTCTCTGCACCATCAGGGGGTGAATGCCAAATAATTTACTTTAGTATAGTGCTTTCTTAGACTTCTACAACATCCCAAGGCGCTTCACAACACAATCAGTCATTCACCCATTCATACACACAGGTGAGGATAGCCACAGCTGCCCCGGGGCATATTGAGAGAGGCGCGGCCTGCCATACTCTGGCACCACCGGTCCCTCCGATCATCACCAGCAGGCAAGGCGGGTTAGGTGTCTTGCCCAAGGACACAACAGCAGCATCCTCTAGTCTGAGCCAGGATCCAACCTGCAACCTTCCGATTACTGGGCAACCCGCTTTTCCTCCTTCCTCCTGAGCTACTGCTGTCACTTTATAGAAGCAGACATGCCTCCACAACCATCTTAATGTTAAATAGTGCACTGTAGTGGAACATCAACCTTATGCTGTAAAATGAGGGGATCAATATCTAATCGCATGTATATTGCACAGAGAATTCTGGGTTTATTTTGCATGTTTATTGACATGTTCTTCGCATGTCATAAGGCTTATTATTTATGACATAATACATCCAAAAACAATGTTTGCTGCTGTAACGTTTGCTGCTAGTAATTCATACATTCTCACCATACTTTCATTAAAGTGACGATTTGTATTTTATACCTAAATCATTGCAAGCAGGCATATTTTTGTGTTCGAGTTACCCCATTTCACACTAGAAGCATCAGCGGCATGGACTGACAGCGAAACGTCACACCTTGTCACAAATATTTTATTTATCCTGCAGATTATTTTGAAATATATTCTCAATTTATTTGCGGTTTGGTTGCAAACCCCTCTTCAGAGCTTTCTCACATTTCATGTTCTTTTTGTCTCGTGGTAATAACCACTTAGAAGAGTTGGGGTTAGCCACTTGCAACTCTCACGAGGGATTTGAGAAACCTTTTATGTGTTTTGAGACTTTTTAAAAAACTCCTTTGTGAAAGCTGCTTGCAGCCCGGTTAGGTTCTGGCTTAATCAGCAGCCCTGCTGTCTCTCCACGTACTCCACAATGACACCTTCATGTTTAAGCACTCATCTTCAGTAAATACCTCCTTTTTAAACTCATGAGTCGGAGCATAATTGTCCAGAAGTTCACAAAGACAAACTCTTTTTACAAGCCCGTAACAAAAAGCTGTGTGTGGAAAAAGCAGAAACACACAACAATCAATGTATAGATGTTGCTGCACGAGTTTGCTTTTATAGAAATGGAGAGGCACCAGCAGCAGCAGTTGATTTGACATTTAATCAGCTGGTCTCGGTCTCGGGGATATTTGCTGTCCAGATTTTCCTCCTCTATATTTTACTAGAGATAATTATGCACACCACTTAGAGTTTTTCTTCTGTAACATTTGATCCATCGGAAAGACAGACGTTTGTTTAAGTGCTCGGGCATTAGCTGAAATATTTATTCTGTCTAATAATACGCTTTAATGTTCCCATCAACAGATATGTTAACAAAACTGAGTTTAGCACAGTGGATTTTTCGTGTGTGGTAAAAGCGGTTGGTTGGATTTTAGTTGTAAAACATTTTCCTGCATGAAATATAAGAAAGAATGTTTGGACCGTCCAACTTAGCTGAAGTGTAACATTAGGTTTCACATTGTAGTTTAAATAAATGCTAACAAGTTTTGTGTTTTTGTTCAATTTGAACATTGAGCTCGTACATATTGAAATCTGCTTCTGTTCCATCGTGTTATCAGTAACCGTTTTGTAATTCTTTGAGGAATCCCTTCTCAGAAAGCTTATTTGTGGCTAAAAGAACTAGCTGTTACAAATGTATTACCACAATTAATGTGCTTGAGTCGTAAAGTTGTTATCCAGGTTATGGAGTGCTGAAGAGGGAAATCAAGCATTTGTTGTGTAGTTTAAAAGTGATTCGTCAGCCATTTTTGCTCACGTAATTTAAATCCTTTTTTTTTTTTTTGCCTCATAAGCTTCAGTTCTGGTTGTGAAACCAATAAGGTGGTAATGGGACCAAACATTACTAGGATATTGGCCAAGGTTGAGCATTTGGGGATATGGTGCTCTCCAGTAGGTCACAGTGTACCTCCAAATGTTCATCTAAGCTGTTTTTGTTTGAAGGAGGCCACTCTGCTTTATGTAATCACAGGCTGCAGCTCATGTTCACATGCTTTTATTTAGTGGCTTTTTTGTTCATTCAGTTTTTTAGATGTTAGTTAAAGAAAATGAACATTTCTTTGTTTAAAGAGCATTGTGTTGTTGCACATGCAGCAGAGGCTGTTGAACTGCATACCAGTGTTAAATCAGAGGGGAAACTCACCATTAGTGTGCATATTACAACATGCTCGATGACTCTAATTCTGTTTCCTGCTGCAGATTATGCTATCCTCGGATCACCAAGTTTCATGCAAATGTCTAGGGGTGTGCCATCTTAGATACCTCACAATTTGATTCGATTCATGGTCTTAAGATTTGATTATTAAAGGATTCTCACGGTTACCACTTTTCTCGATGCATTGTTTTCACTGTTATGGATTTTGTTTCTCGCTTAAATGGCCTTTTTTATGCTTTCAAATTAATTCACTTGACATTAGTTCAAGTTAACAAATAGCCTTTTCTTCACTGTCCTATTCATGTTAAACTGAACACGTACCTAACATACTTCTGCATGAAATCTACAGGAAGAACGTGAGCTGGCTATAGCAGCGTTAAACACGACAGAAAACACACTGTTCCGAAATAAAAACTACTTGTTGCTTTCTAAATATTTGTTGCATCAAAACACTTCAAATGATCAAGATACCTGTTTTAAAAACTAAAAATTCTCAAAGTCCAAAGAAGGGTTTAGTGTATTAAAGGCAACTTTTTTTTAGGGAAACAAAAACCAAGTACCTTTAAAGATAAATGTAAACACGTAGCAGTTGGCAGAAATATTTGACTTATTCAACTGGTTTAATTTGAAACTGCAGAAGTTATTTTATTCTGTTATAAGAATATTATTATAAGGATATGGAAGTTGGTACCTGTGCTTCTTCTCTTGCTCTAACTGGGGATGGAAACGCGAGGTGCAGTCACACGTTTGGTAGTGTTGCTGTTGCGATTTACTTTAGTTCTGCACAACTTTCCTTTAATCTTGAAGAGTAAATCTCACTTTTATATTTTTCAGCTGGTCCGACCCCTAAAGTGTCTGGGCAACACGTGCAACGTTTACGTTCCTGCCACGCTGTGCAGCTGTTTTTTGGCATTTAATTATAATCATTTTTGAATGTTTATAAATCATTATTAAATTGTCATGTCCCATCACGATGGATGGATTAAATGGTGAATCAGTTTACAATTACTCATGTCCAGGACCTAATTTGGTTTTAGTTTCGACCAGAATTTCTGTGTTCCTGAGAAGTGTGTGTGAAAGCCAACGTGAGCGACACACACCGCATGCATCCGATCGCCGTGGGGTGGGGGTGGTGCGGGCACAGAATGCCAGGAGTAATTTTTACATTAACGCGGAAGGACCTTTAATTATTGGTGGGGACAATTCTTTAAAAGAGGAGGAAAAAAGCAGCGCTACAGAAAAGTGAGGAAGTGAGTGAAAACAGGATGGTATGAAGTCGTTTCCTGTCGTGTTTGTAAATATCACTAAATATTGTGAATAATGTGCTGCAGTTGAATCCCAATCTCAATTTCTGCTAGAAAAACGAACACGATTCAATGTTTTCCTGAAATCATTCAGTCCTAGACAAACAAAGATGTTTGCATAAAATATTGAATCTAAGTCTAAGTAGGGGCGACGGTGGCACAGGAGTTAAACGCTCGCCTCGCAATCGGAAGGTCGCAGGTTCGAGACCCGCTCAGTCTGTCGCTGTCGTTGTGTCCTTGGGCAAGACACTTAACCCACCTTGCCTGCTGGTGGTGGTCGGAGGGACCGGTGGCGCCAGTGCTCGGCAGCCTCGCCTCTGTCAGTGCGCCCCAGGGCAGCTGTGGCTACATCGTAGCTCATCCCCACCAGTGTGTGAATGTGTGTGTGGTTGGGTGAATGACTGATTGTGTTGTAAAGCGCCTTGGGGGGTTCCAGGTCTCTAGAAGGCGCTATATCAAATACAGGCCATTTACCATTTACCATTTAAGTCAGTTTTTGTCTGTTCTTTATTGAAAGTAGTTAATTAAGGAATAGCATAAAATGGCTGGGCCGCACTTAAAATATATTTCCTACTGTTTCTTTTAGAAAATATTTTTCAATAATTATCTACATCGATCAGTATTAATTATTTTTTCTTCCAGCCCTAGGAAGCGATATTCTTGACCAATCACAGGCTTGCGGTCTCTCTTTTGACTGATATATAGAAACTTGGACTCTACTCTGTCCGTTCGTGTGAGCCTTTGCGACGCCGGATAATGGTGTTGCATGTCTCCGGACCTCCGCAGGCGGAGAAGCATAAACAAGGCTTTAGCCTGATAAACCGGGTGATGTACTGCAGCCATTTGCAGTATTTAATTATAATTATTCAGTCACAACTTACCAGTTAACCACAGCCCATTTGTAGTTTGCTCCTTGATGTCAGAAGAGTCAAACTTGGGAATACCTGTTAGTGATGGTTGGCGTTCTTCTGCTCTTTGGAAAATCTGTTGCAATTTGTATAGATCTGCATCATGTGTTGCTATGGCTACAGCTCATCAAGTATATTAGAGTCTCTGGTAATGACAGAGCGTGCCCACCGTTGCAGTTTAAGATGGTCTGGAGGAAAACAGTTTGTTCCAGAGATTTATTTTTCTGAAAGCTCGGGATCATTAAAACGTTTGCAGTACAGCGCTGCCTGAGCCGCTAAAAAAACAAATGCGTTCATTTTTCTTGGTTGTAGAAAGAACGCTCCGGCAGTGGACTCAAGTTTCGTTTGGTTAAAAAAAAATATGCATCAAAGTTGTTTTGTGTCTAACTCTGCAAAGATGGCTCTCTGTAACCCAAATGGCAACACATAACATAAAATTAACCTGTTACAAACTATAAACAGCTGACCTTATAAATTAAACACAGTTGTCTACATTTATTACACTGTAATAAGCAGAAAAGTAGGTTTGTATATTTTCCATTTAACAGATATTCGTCACCTCCACTGAAACCAGACTTGTTGTGAGTATTTTTGTGTTGAGAATGTTTTTTCGTAGTTTTTAAAGGAGATAAAAATGTTTCTTAAAACGAGTGAACGACTGAAATTTCCACTTCGACTTTCACATGGAAAATGTACAGATGTTCAACAACTGGAAAAGTAACACGGTTGATGCGTTACTGTGGTGCGTTCACAGGCTAAAATAAAAAGTAGGATATTTGGGTCTGATTCCGGTCATCATCCAAGTAAAAGTTTAGCTTTACAGACTTTATCCGTTTGTTTAATGTGTGTCTTTGTCCCGTTTGGCCTGCAGACGTTGTGTCCCTGAGTCATGGCAGACAGGAGAGCGGAGAAGTCATGTGAAGAAGCCAGCAAATCGTTAGCCAGGCGGGAGTACGAGGCGGCAGTCACCCACAGCACGGACGCCCTGGTGGTCCTCGCACCTCAAACCTCATCCTCAGGTGCAGCGGTCCTGCCAAGCCCTTCGTCCAGCGTCGCCCCGCTCCGCAGCCGTGCCCTGCTGTACCGAATTGCTGCCTTTCTACAGCTGGTGAGGACAAAAGTTCTCCAAATGTTATTTTCTCTTGACGGAAAGGAACTTGCTTTATAAATATCTAGAAAATATGAATATTTAAACAAGGTTTAAAGTTGGGTCTTCTCGATAAGTCACCATACTGAAGTAGCCTGGGTAGATCATCTCTGCACTGTTACATAAAGAAATCATTAATTGTGCATTTTGTGCCAATTTTACACCAGTTCTTTATATCGAGGATGTAGAAGTATTCACGTCTCATAATATTATTGTAAATGACTCTTTTATAACTCATAAACAGGTTTTCTTGTAGCTTATGCAAAGCCATGATCCTCAACGTTCTAACGGTTCAAAGAGTTCTTGTTTTTCTTTTTCCATCAACAGAAAAACTATGATGAAGCAGATGAAGACTGCAAAAATGGTGAGTAGCAAATCAAACTGGTGATTCGGGATTTTTGTTGTAAGGTTTGATGTGTGACTGCTTTGTTTTGCTGCCATAAAGAAACCAATTCTCTAAAGAAAGTGTTTCAAGTAGCTGCCTGTGATTTTTCTTTTATCTGATGGCACCATCTAGTGGCTGACATGTGTATCACATCATGACCTACTTTTTCCGTATTTTAGGCCGAAAGCAACGCCTCTCGTTCATGAATGTGCTCCTCTAGCTGAAAAACAGCGAAAACACATTGTTTTACAATAATTATGCTCACGTTATGTTGCGTATTCACATATTTATATTTTACTCACTTGCCCACGAGTAACGTCGCCAACTCTGCATCAACGGAAGTACACCCTTAAACGCTCGAGCGCGCTCTGTGATAAACTTCTGTGTGTTAGCGGTGGTCAAACTCTATTTGTTCGTGCTGACTAGAGCTCAGTTCATATTGCACTGAGCTGTACAGGACAGGGGGTGGGTTTAGCATAAATAAAAAAATAAATAGACATTTTTTCTACATTATATCCTGGTATGTGATAAGACAATCACTTTTATGTATTTTGTAAGATCACACATAATTCCTGAAAGGGGACAAAGAGGAAGATGGCAGCTTTAAAGTTTTGTTTATTTCCAGTTTACCCCAAAAATCTGTGATAAATCTGGCTAATCAACCTCTTTGCACCACTAACTTCTACAGTGAAATGTTTACATTTTATTTAAACAATAAAAAGCTAAAATATAATACTGTCCCTAAATAAACACGGTCCAAGATAAGTTTGAATGTAAGAGACGGTGAAACAGCTGTTGCTGCTCAGGTCACGTAGACTTTGGGCTCAGAGTCTAAAGCGACTGTGTCTACTGTTATCATCATCGCGCGTGTCGAGTCAGAGATGGAATAAGAAGCCAAGATAAATACTGTCAAAGATTACCAGAGAAACCAGGTGTAGACACTTTTCCCTCAGCTGCTTCCTGCTCTTGTTCTTCAGCGAGTGAGAGGTGAGCTCCAGAAAGTATGATGGAAAACCAGTTTTCTTTATTTCACAATATCAGGCTTCTTTAAAGTCAGTCCCACAGGTAGAAAGCTACAGATGCGCCAGAAGCAAGGCCCTTGCAATAAGGTCCAGTCTGACTCCTGAAGATTTTGTGGCGATGCGCGTTCTCCAGTCCTAAACTGAACACTTAATGTTGGGGGTGTTTTCCTCCTCGCGTGCCATCTTTCTAGAACCTCCCATAACATTATTGGACTCCAAATAAAAAGCATCAGAAGTGTTGATGTTCCGGATCAGAGTTTAAGTCTCAAACACACGTTAACCGAGAACATCAGGCCCTGCTGCAGCCTGTCAGGATACTCACTTTTCTCTTACGCGTGCTTTGTGGAAAACCAAACTGGGTATTTCTGTCGTTTTCACTTTTTGTTTTGCTTTCGGTTGCAGTTCTACCAGAAGAAATCGCTCGGGGAGATGGATCCTTACAGGCTAGTTTACGCGCCATGCTGTTGGACGGCAGCCTGGAGGAGGTGGCATGCATTCTGTCTAAAGCCCTGTATGGAGAGCCAGTGGTAATAATAATCTACATTAAATACAACATGTATTAAATATGGTCAGGCTGCACATTGACGATAATCAAACGTTAAAGCAAAAGTAACTTTTCAACTACTGTTTCAAATTTAGATAATAAATGTGACTTTTTACAAGAATGTGTTTGCCAGATCTACATCAACCAGTAAGGCAGTCATGTTAAAGATAAACCCGACTACTGGTTAAATTGGTGTTTTCACCATATTAATAAATAGAATTAAAAGAATCAGACTTGTGTAAATGTTGCAGGTCATGACTTACAAATGCAGATTAAAACTCTTGGATGCATAAGTTACACCAAAGCGTCCCTGGTAATCTGATTAAAGTAATTAAATAAAACTGATTACAAAAGAGCAACGAGGCGTGGTCGAGATCAAACACTCAGCTGTTATATTTAATTCAACACTCGTTACTCTTTCCTTTACAGAACGGCATCGTTACAAAAGACCTGACCAGGTTGAAAATGCTCTTCAGTGAGATCGAGGTAACCTCCCGTAGCTCCAGAGTCTCTTCCTTCTGTTCAGGCCGGTCCATGTTTTCACAATTTTATAAATACTCACGCTTGTAAGAGTTCGTTTTGTTTACATGTTTTTCTCTTTGGTTGTTTGTTGAAATAAAAATAGTTTTCTAACTTTGAGTGCGGTCGAGCATGTAGTTTGCAGTGAGTAAATATAGCTTCCTGTTAACACCTCCTCTAACGCCAAACCATCGTGTTTCCTACCAGGCTATAAAAAGAGCGATGGCTCCAGAATACACGGACGACCCAGATGAAGGTGAGCTCATCTGTTGTTCAGCATCAAAAAATGCAGATAAAATGTAAGCTTGACATGTGACTGAAACGTGTGTTGGCTTGTGTCTGATCACTTAGCTTGTGTGTTTACAGAGGTTCAAGATGGCTGGCAGTTCCGGCCGCCTCCAAGAGGAGTCACCAGCAGCGAGGAGTACACCCTCTGTAAAAGGTAACTGTTCCCATAGGAGAACCATCGGCTTCTCCTTCGGAGAAAATGTCCAGCTATCAACGAATCGCATCGGCTGTTTAAAATTCAAACAGCAACACGATGAATACGCTTCATGTGTTCTGTGGTGATGGTGGCAAAGATTTCCGCTGAGGGTTGTAACAAGACTCCCTGTACCAGTGTTTTTATCTGTGGACAGAGATCCCTGCAGGACAGAGCGGTTTCGTGAAAGGATAAAAGCCGTTTTTTCAGGTCAGCTGTCATTGATCTGGTTTGGACTTTTATACCTTCAAGGAGACAAAGTGACCTGAAGATGCTTTTAAAATGTGGCTCAGCCTCATCCTCTAGTACCGCTCCGCTTTAAACCACCATAGGTGCTCGTTTGTCGAGGACGTGGTGAAGGCTGACTGGATTGCCATTTGCCACGTCTCTAAATCGTCACATTCATCCCATCAAATGTTTAACTTTTGCTCTTTTTTACCAAACAGTCTGATTAATTACACAATAGTCACGTAAATTCACAGTCGCACGTTTTTTTTAACACAACAATATAATACACACAGGACAGGATTGGTTTTGTTTGCTTCTATCTTTTACCTGTAAGATTTTTGTGCCGTCGGCTCTTATTTTGTGACAAAAATCACCCGTGTAAAACAAACCGCTGAGTAACTGATTAGATCGTCCTTTGCCACGGCTCCATCGTTGTTTTTCTCTCCTACAGGTACCTGGAGCAGGGTCTGTGTCGGTATGGGGCCCAGTGTACGTCGGCTCACTCGCAGGAGGAGCTGATGGAGTGGCAGAAACGCTACGCCTCACGACTCATTCGCCTCAAACAGCAGCAGGAGAGCAAGCACTTCACAGAAAACTACATGGAAACCCTGATAGAGAAGTGGATGAACTCCCTATCCCCAGAGAAAGTGGTGAGTGGCTTTGTGACACGCAGCAGAGAGCAGCTCGGCCCGAAGATGGGACGTCTTATTAAAACTTGTGATTTGTGGTGTAAAATCAGAAAAAACCACACACACACACACACACACACACACACACACACACACAAACTGTTATCAAAAAACATTATGAAACACACGTATCAGATATGCGTTTATGGCCCTCCCTGTATGTACAAAACTCCGGATATTTCGTTTTCTATTAATAAAACACCTCCAGCTGCAGTATTCTAACAGAAACACCGGAGTACTACTGTGTGTGTGTGCGTGTGGGGACATTATTGGCATCAAAATTCAAAGGAAGAGCATTCTTAGCTTGGCAACAGGGTCAAGATAGGGTCAGATAAACCTAAAGACTTCTAACCGAGCCAATCAGCGCTGAGTAGCGTACGTCACACACCACGACACTGAGTTTGTCATAAACATGGCGACTGAAGCGGAGTTGGCCGCGGCTCTTTCCTCTGTTCTAAATGACTTGAATGTCTTTAAAACCACAACAAACAGAAGCGCTAAAAGTCTTTCATCTAAACAAAACAAGATGTTTGCGCTGTCGCCTGACGCCATTTTTGACTACAGCTACAGCATTTCCGTCTTTTTTCTGATTGGTTATTTTTTAGCTGGCTAGTCCAGGATGAGTCTGGCGGGCCAGGCTAGGTTAAACCACCAAAGGGTTCCTGAGCACGTGTGACAACTGTTGGCACTTTATTCTTTTTAATCTTTAATTTACTGGAGGACGGGGCCTTCTCCTAGCAGTTCTGCTTTCTGCACACGATAAAGAGTAATAGATATTAGACACATACAACACATTATGGAGACGTGTTTTTAGATATTTCCATTTCCTGTCTGAACTCTGGTTTCACAAGTTTAGAACTTTTTACATATTTGCCTCCATTTCTAATCTGGTTTTTGACTAAGCATGTGTGTTGTGTTTTTTTCTCCTCCAGCTAAGTGACAGTTTAGAAGGAGTGACGGTAGACACCAGTTCCAGCCTTTCTGTTACCGTCTCCTCCAAAAAGTCCTCCCACTCCTGGATCTTTTCCTTGCTGTGCAAGGTACGATGGCGCCTTTACATTTTCAGCGTGGCTGTGTTTTTACTGAATGCTTGCTAGAGCAACTTCCTTCTGTCTCCTGTTTGGAATCATCTGATATTTTTGTGTTTGTTTTTTTTTGCTCTTTCATTAGCCGGCTAGAAAGCTGTTCCGCATCGCTCTGCTGTACGATGCCCATCGACCCCACTTCTTCATCACAGGCGTGTCGGCGGGGGAGCGCCTCCAAGCTGTTCCTAAAGGATGTCAAGAGTGGACTCCAGGGGAGGAAGCAGGTTTGTATATTGGTTTATCATAACCGAGGCTGCATGTTCTGGGTGTGTTTGCGCTCTGTTTTGTGATGGTGCCAGTTACGTTCAGGAACACTCTAGGACCACATGTAGGCTCTTACTGAAAGTAACAGAACAGCCACTTAGACAAATATGAACCAACTCAAAAACAAGAGAAAAGATTGAACTCAAACTGATTACATTTCATTGGGATAACTTTCACTTTGGCTCACAGCAGAGGTCTTGTTTGTTTTTCTACTTCCGTGGGGAATCAGCTTGCAGACCTGGGCTCGGGTATCCAGGGTTTCCCAGACAGTCTGGGGCCCTAATCATCATCAATGCTCTTGAGGTTCTCGGCATCATGAAACCTATTCGAAACCTTTTTCACAAACCTCTACAGCAGGGGCGTCAAATATGCGGCCCGCGGGCCGGATCTGGCCCGCGAGCAGCTTAAATCCGGCCCGCGAGATGGTTGTGTAAACTTTATTTTCATACTTTACAATGTAGAGTGAAAATAAACTCATCTTTGTGAGCAAGTTTTCTCTGTAATGAGTATAAATAAAACAAAGCTGCGCTCAAGGCTCACACAAGAACTTGAATCACATCCTGAAGTTGGCCGCCACTCAGGATGGGACTTCTGATGTTGATGTTCTGGTGAAAGCTAAAAGATGTAAAGTAAAATGAGTCAAATATATATTTAACTGCTGCATGAAACTGATCTAGCCATGTGATCTGTAAGCTCTTTGAATCACTAAGGAATGTTTTATTTATTTATTGATTGTTTTTTTTTTCAAAATTTCAAGTACACTTCAGGTGTTGTACTTTTACTACACTGTCCTCAGGCTCCAGCCTTGTTTTGTATTGATTGTATTAAAACAAAGAAAACAACCTGAAGTTGTTTTTAATTTACCGGTCCGGCCCACTTGGGACTAGATTTCTCTCAGTGTGGCCCCTGAGCTAAAATGAGTTTGACACCCCTGCTCTAAAGCACGTTGGCCACTGATGTGACTCCGAGCCAGCAGCTGAGTCTTTATAAGGAAACCTGGTGAAAAAAACATTTGTAACAGAAGAAGGTACCGATGTTGTCCTGGAGGAGCTGGATCGCTTGTGTAATGAGAGAGTGACGCCCTCGGCTACAAGTTGTGGGGAAAAATGGCACAATCAAAATCAAAATGACTTGTGATTTTTATGGGGCGTTTCTGGGTTACCGCCTCTGAAAGTTTAATCTCCCAGTTGACACAACTTTGTGCATACGTTAAAATTTAGAGGTTGCCTTTCTTAAACTTTTCATGTTTCTATATGTCTTTGCTTTTATTTGGCATGCTGCCTAATGCCAGAAAACCCTTTCAGATCGGTGTTTGCATCACGTTCTCGCCCTAAACAAGTTTTAGCTTCTGTTATTTCATTTAAAAAAAGTAAATGTTGAATGAACTTTGCTGTTTGGACAGTGGCGACGGACAACGGTCTCGATCACTGCGTCTACAAAGTAGCGGTGAGCTTCAGCACCGAGATCTTTGGTACCTTCAGGCAGACCATCGTTTTTGACTTTGGCTCTGAGCCGGTGCTGATGCAGCGCATCATGGTGGATGCCGCCTCTATTGAAGGTGAGATCAAAGCGATCTACAGATGCAAAAATGACTATTTAAGTTTAAATGTTTAAATATCCACTACACTTGTTAATGTTTCGCCACATCCTCTTGTTTTGTTATTTCCAGACTTGGAGCACCTAATGGCAGCCAGGCAACAGCTCTTGATGACTGCCAAGCGCTGGGACTCTTCGTGTAAAACCATCGTAGAGTTCTGTCCCAACGAGACTATGGCTGATCTGGAGCGCAGCCTCCTTTCTCGCTATCAGATACCTCTGTCGGCTGACCAGCTCTTCACCCAGTCGGTTCTGGACAAGACCCTAACCAAAGACAATTACCAGGCGCGTCTGCACGATCTGCTCTACATCGAGGAGATTGCTCAGTATAAGGAAGTCAGCAAGTGAGTAGACAAAGGCTCATGCTGGAGCGTTTCCATTCCATTTCTGTCCCAATGAATCAGGATTCAACAAATGTGTGATTAGAAACTAGCAGCAAATATTCTGGCCTGTAGTGTTAAACCTGAACAGGCCTGAATAGAATAAATTATGAATCTTTCTGTGAGGAATCGGGACGATGTTCCTGTCTGATGTGGACGTTTCATCTGCTGTTGTCTAGGTGTTGAGTGTGTGGAAACGTCAGCCCACCACAAGGTGTCAGACTTAAACCTCAGAAATTTCCAGTATGAGAGCCGGTGTGTGTATCACACAATCTCCACTAATAGTACAATTTAATTATACACCTTAAGCGATTCATTTGATGTTAGAGGAAAAAGACGGATTCTTTTTTAAGTTCTCCTCCTGCTTCTTCACCGCCCCGCTAATGTTTTTCAGTCGTGTATTAAATCCTTTTGTTTCTCCTTCAGCTATTTAAATGTGTCATAAATTGCTGTTGTGTCAAAACTCAGAGGGTCATTTGACTCAGTGAGAATAATTTTTACCTGTCCCCTCCTTGTGGATACGAGTGATCTCCACTTATGACTTTTTTAGGAGTTTGAGCTGGAGATTTTCTGTAAAACATGGATTTCCTTTAGATCTACGTATAAAAACCATCATTAAGAGCTTTTTGAAGTCTTTATATTCACACAGTAACTTAAAACACCCTTTTAAAGGCACATATTTGATAATTTCTGCATATTTTCATAACTTCCCTTGAATAAAAAGCCTTCTCTGTGTGTAGTTTTGTATCAAGAGGGCCACCGGCATCAGCTGATTAGCCAAAGTGAGCGTGAAGTGAGTTACGTAAAACCTGTCTGCATTTTAAGATTTCTCACTAATAAACTCCACCCAGAGAGCTGATGCTAAACAGTTTTAAGAAATCCTAATAGCTGCTTTTGGTTTTGTGAGTAGTTCTCATATAAATACAGAATATATTACTTTCTGTAGTGATGCTAATCATCCTTCAGTGTTGAGGAAGAACGCCCCCCCCCCCCCTTCATCATTTTAGATGCTGCAGAGATCAGAGAGGAACTCCTAAACAAATTTGTATTAATATTATTTCCTTCCACTTAAAAGTTCTCTCATTTTCATCAGAAATGACATTACTCTGTCAAAGCATTTAATAAAACGGTTTTGCTGTTTTAAAGTTCTTTAAAGCAACGCCTAATTCGTCTCTCCCTCCTACTGGTTGAAAGCAGAATTACACCCGTTGTAAACAACCCTGCCACTGCCTGCTACCGGCGAGCTAATGCTAACACCAGCTAGCTGATACTAAATAAGCCACAAAGTCAAAAGAACCACATCGTTGGACCCAAAAGTTCAGTAGAAACATAGCCAGGTCACCGTCTGGTCATGTCTAAGGAGCGCTGTCCAGTGAGAAGACGGTCTAGTTTATGACTCAACAATCACTGAAACTAGTTTGAAAGCAACAACTTAGTGTTGCTATGGTGATCGTGTTTCAGTCAACCCTGTGTAAAAGAAGATGGTTGTGTTTTTGCTGCATTAACCAGTGTTCATGTTTTTGCCCCAGGTTTAACATTAAAGTGAACATGCAGCTGGTCAATAGCTTTATGCTAACCGGCATCTCTGTCGGAGCCAAGTACGCTCAGAACGGACAGCTGTTTGCACGCTTCAGGCTCACCGAAACACTTTCAGAGGTAACTGAACCTGCTGCTGTGGACTCACGGATAAATGATCATACGACACGTGTAATAAACAGTATTTTCTTCTTCTGCGAGGACACACTGGCTGGGCGGCTGGTAATGACCAAGGTGAACTCGGTTCTGCTGCTGCCTTTGGGTCGTGAAGGGTTCAGCAGCCATCCTCCTTCTGGGGTCAAAGAGCGCGTTTATGAGGCTGTGATCGAGGAGAAGACCAAGGACTACATCTTCCTGAGGATCTGTAAGGACTGCTGTGAGGAGCTGGGTCTGCTGCCCGACAGAGAAATGCAGGTACAGGCTCTACAGATTCACCTCGTGGTACCTCTGCTGCACTAGATGCATGAAAACAGCATCCATGCTTTCGTTCTTTTTTAAACACAGAAACAGTTTTGTTTACCTGTTTGTAGCTACGGTTTCGCCGACAGCTGCCGGCTTCTTCAGGCTGACGCCTAGACAACGCATCAGCGTCAGCCTGAAGAAGCCGGCAGCTGTCGGCGAAACCGTAGCTACAAACAGGTAAACAAAACTGTTTCTGTGTTTAAAAAAGAACGAAAGCATGGACTTAGAAAGACACAGCAAGAACACACCTAAGATATAAAAACAGCAGAATGGCCATCATGATGACTGTTTGTGTACAGTCTACGTGATGAAACCCTTCCTTTAGTAAGTTATTCCCTAATCTTAAGTGACGAGTTTACACACTGATACTGTCTTGTTAAACTTTCCACCACAAGCAGCTGCAGCTTGCCTCTTCTACAGTATTAACGTCGGCCTGTGAAAGCGAGCTCATCATAAAGCAGCCCTCATTCTGTCGGGTTTTTCCCCTGAACGAGGCTTCTAATGCTCATTTATGTGCTTCTATGTATGTCATTCAATTCTTTTTTTTTCTTAAATGTTCGTTCTCTCACAACTCCTCATGCACATTTAAAACTGTTTTTTTCTTCCTCCTCCATTCATTTGTTCTATTTTTTTGTACTGTTCATAACCTTTTTACCAGCTGAACAGCATCTCACACACACACACACACACACACACACACACACACACACACACACACACACACACACACACACACACACACACACACACACACACACACACACACACACACACACACACACACACACACACCCTGTGGGTGAACAGTCACAGGACAATTAAGAGATTTAACAGAAATGTGAAGGAATGTGACAACTTTCTAAATGTTTAAGTTTATTTGCTAAATGTTAAACAAACTTTAAATGTTGTGCTGGGTTCTTGAGTGTAGCAGAGTGTTTAAGGCCTGTAGGTGAATGTAGATCATGAGGTGGTTAAACGGGCTCTGTGTGTGGTTTCTGTGTCAGGTGGAGCTCCAGTTTCAGCTCAACAGACAGCCGCTTTGTGAGATGCACTACGCCCTGGATCGCATCAGGGATAACAGCATTCTTTTTCCTGATGTCAGCCTGGTCCCCACCATCCCCTGGAGCCCAAACAGGTGCCTGTTGCACTACTGACACACACACACACACACACACACACGCATGCAAGCTCAAACAGCTGCTACTTACACAGGACTGTCTCAAGTACAAACATTTGAATAAATCTAAATATTTTAATTTCGTTTAGTGTCGCAACTGCGTGTTTCTCTTGATGTGTGCATTTAGTGTCTTCTTACTTTTTTTTTCATTTAGTGGCTTATTGTTGGAATTGGGTGGGACTGAGGTATAAAACGACGTTTCTATCATTTAGACAAGCTTCTTCCCGTTAAGTAGATGTGCAGTTTGTGTGTATTGGTACGTATTAAGAATGTTCTTAAAACGAGTTTGTACCCGGAAGTGCCTGCAGATCTGGTCCCAGGTCAGTCTGCTTCAACAGGAAAAACAAATCTTAGGCCTGATGAATCGATTTAGCTAAATTGCTAAATAAATCCAAAATCAATTAATTCATGTTTTCGCCCAGCCCTAATAATCATAGAATAAAAAATACACAATAAGTTTCTTCTTTGCTATTAATTACAAATGGATCAAGTTGGTGAAAATGTAAAAGAAAATTACAAATAAATGAACAAAGTAAAAGAAAGTAGAGTTAACTTTAGTTGAATGTGAGGGTTGAGGAAAATGTCAGCATGCACGTTTTTGCAGAGTAATCCTAAAAATGTTTATTGTACCGAAACTTCTGTAATTCCTGCACATCCTGTTAGTTTGACAAATCTTCTTATGGAGGCGTCGGCATCTCAATTGGAGAGTTGAGGCAACATCCCTCACCTTACCGACTCACTGACCAGTTGGAAAAGCTTTCAGCTCCCTCCAGCTGAAGTTGGGCAGGTGAGGGAAGAGAGACCGTAATCTTTATTGACAAGAGCCAAAGTCGAGTAAAATCCCTTGTGACTTTCTTGGCCTCTGCCTAATTTAGACTCTAGAATAGGATTCATGCCAACATTTGTTTTGATCAGAAATTATGGAAGTGTTACTCTAAAAAGTGAACTGAATTAAAGTTGATTTATACATTTAATACATGACGGTTGTTTGGATTTTAGTTTAATAGTTCGTTGTTTTACCCACGAAGCTGCTCCTTTATTTTCTAACATTTAAAAAAACTATTATTTGCTTGAAGATTTTGGGGCAATTTTTCTTTGACAAATCAGAAATAAACATAAACGCATTAATAAATCGACATTGTGTGCAAGACTGTTTTTCAACATAATATTTTGCGAGTGATTCAACAACAGTCTGGAAACGGTAATATCTTCTCCTCACTGGGCCGGCTGCAGCAATCCTCATCTGTCGTCCGTGCTCTTGGATGGAGCCAATGACAGTTAAGCTTGGTTTATGCTTGGCACATTCACTTTCCGCGCGGTGATGCGGCTCGCGGATGGAACGCGCTTCACAACTCGCAGCGTTTATGGTTTGTGCGGCTCATCTCTGCGGTGAGCCAATATTCTCCCAAACTGTAGGGGGCAGCATGGAGCTCTACGGCATGCATCCAACACTACACCATAGTAGAAGTAGAAATTACTGTTTACAACACGACATTCCAGCATTTTTAACAGCGTTCTCGTCTTTTCCGACAGTGCGAGATATTTCTCTCCAAGAATTATTAACAACATGTTGATCACGGTGATCTCTGAGAGCTGAATCATACAAATGTCTGTATTTACCAACCTCTGCCATACTAGTTCTTGCCGGTCCGCCATGTTTTTCCGCGTCAGTCCGTCCGCGTGTTTAGAAATTTTCCGAGGTGCGCGTTGCGGAAATCTTGGGCCGTGCGGAGACGCGGTGGAGGGGCGTGGTTGTTAAAATGACGCAAAATGACGCAACTTTTCCGCGCGGAGCCGTGCGAACCTCGCGGACGCGTCAAGCATCAACCAGCCTTAATGCTGCTGCTCAGTGAGGGAGTAGGAAGCTGTGTGCTTCATGTCGGTCTTCAAAAGCAGGACTGTTCACACTCAATTTTATCTACTAACGTGTGGCACTTAGGAATGACACCGGGGGCCTTCTTTAGGGTCTACAAGAGTGATTTATCACTAAAGAAAACAAATCAGCTGTGTTCATGATCTAAAACATTCAGGAAACATGCTGGAGCCAGACTGCGGTGCCAGATAAGTTGGATAATTTATTTTTTCTGAGTCCAACAGACTGGACTGGCACTCTGAAGTTGCAAGTGTGGTATTCTGACCACAGAGAGTGGTAGGGGTCTGAGTGACATTTCATTAACCCTGTAAAGAGTCATTTTAGCTCATACTGGCTCAAGAAAATTATTTAAAAATATGAAAAAGTTGCATAATGCCCTCAAGTTCATCTTATCTGTCTTTTATAATCGATGTTTAGTTTTATCAAGACTTTAACTGATGCAGATCAAACAAAATGAGTGTTTTCATCAAAGACTTATGTGCTATCAACCCCATACAGAACATCTTGTTCTTCTATAGCCATGCATGTGTACACGTACACACACACAAACACACACACACACACTCCAAGAAATCCCCCCAACCATGTCTCAGTTGGAGCTCAATCAATTGGTGTTGGTGGATTCGTAGCTTCAGTGGATGAAGTCTTCATAATGAGGACAGTGATGCTCGGAGACAGAGACACGCACGCACGCGCGCACGCACGCACGCACACACTCTTTCTTGTGTATTAAAATGGCTGCTCCTCTTCAGTTTTTTTGTCTGCCATGTTTTATTTGCTTAGGCAAGTATGAGTTTTTTACACATTGATAAAAAAAATAAACAACCAGCTTCAAATTTTCCTGATTTGAGAGGCAACATCATGTCAAACTTACTCAAATCAGTCCATTAAGCGCTGTAAATAAGTAGCCTGGCAAGCCAGACATAATAAATATATTATGTAGTCTGGCAACGCTCCATTGATGGCTCTCGGTCGTGGGGCCGGTTCTATCTCCGCATGCTACTGGACAATGAACGACGTGATGTACTCATTGCAACGGATGTCACTCAACCAGGCATTCCGATGTGGAAGAAGGAAAAAATACATCTCTTTTTCTAAATAAAGGACTTAAATACATCTATCTGCTTCTCATTCTAATAAAGCTCAATCCAAATAGTCCAACACTGATGTAAAAGCCGTTTCAAACGAGCTGTCGCCATCTTGTTCCACTCTGTCGCATCATTTTGCCCACGAGACCGAGTGCCCTGATTGGCCCACCATTGTGGACCATAGCGGTCTATTGGTTTGAAACCCCTATAGAGAGCTGTGACTGGCCAGCCAGAGGGCTGCATGGGGACCTATGGAGCGTTCCTAGACCAAACCTTGCAAAGCAAGAATTTGTTCTAGTTCCCTGGGCTAGTGCACGAGTGCCCAGTGCACTCAGACTTGGAAATTGTGTTGCACTTTTTTGATTACAGTGGCTCTGGAGGAAAGTTTTGTCATTGGAAAAACTTTTTGACCCTACCTTCTTTTTTGTCATTCCCAAAAAGTTTTTTCTTGCTTTCCTCGTTGGTTCACCAGCGTCTTGTGTCATTCCTCTCATTTTCAGGCTGGTCATTTCAAGTCACTAAGAACACATTTCCTACCTTTATTTGTTCAGTTAACTGGATCTGCAAACTGTCTGACATATTCAGTCATTCTCTATTGAAAGGCCTCCATTGTGTAGGTAAAAACATGGGGAACAATATCCGTTTACTCTTCTAACGATGTCTTTATCCACCCTGGGCCCTCAGGCAGTGGGATGAGCAGCTGGATCCACGGCTGAATGCCAAGCAGAAGGAGGCCATTCTGGCCATCACCACACCAGTTTCTGTCCAGCTGCCCCCAATTCTCATCATTGGGCCCTATGGTACCGGCAAGACCTTCACCTTGGCTCAGGCTGTCAAGCACATTCTTCGCCAGGAGAACAGCAGGTATGTGAATCGAGTGTTTTCTTGCTTTTTTTTTGTTCTTGAAGCGTAAAGATTCAGATGTTCAAACTGACAGATCCCACTGGTATTTTTGTTGTTTTCTGTTACACAGAAAAAAACGTACTCTGACACATCTATAGAGTAAACTAGGGAACTAAGTGTATTTCATGGGGTGGTTCAATACTGGCTTTTTTTTTAACCAAATCTTAATTTCCAAAGTCGATATAAACCGATACCAATATATGCGGGTCCCCTCTAAAAGAAAAACAAATAAATACTAAATCAGTTTAGGCAACTAACATCTAGGGATGCACCGATACTGATACTGGTATCGGTGCATCCCTAGATGTTAGTTGCCTAAACTGATGTACTGGTATTGGTAAAAGTTAACCGATACCAATGCAGTAGCTTGAAAGTGGCTTCACTGGAAATTGTCATTTCTGTTCACTTAATATTTTAGTTTTGTGATGATTTCTATTCATATATTTAACTTTTCATCAACTTCACAGTCATTTCCTGTTGAAAGCAGAGAAGAAAATAAAACCTGTATTCCAATTCATTGCATTTTTTTTGTATGGTAGAAGCATCGGTATCGGTAATCAGTGATCGGTATCGGCGACAACTCAGATCCAAGTATCAGTATCGTATCGGTTTGGAAAAAAGTGGTATCATTGCATCCCTATGAAGATCACATAACTCCTATCATTCATACCTAAACTATAAACGTTATCTGTGAAAAATTGACAGCTACTTACATTTAAGTTGTGCCAAAACTTTGCCTCGGATTGGTTATCGTTTGATATTTTCACAGGAGGAGAAGTAGCTGAAGAGTTTAATGTATAAATAGTACATGGGATGTAAAGTTGTGTCTCTAAAAGAGTAGAAAATGATAGATATTTTCTGTTATTATCTTTTTATACCACTATCAGACAATACAGTTGGGCATCTCTGGTATTTTATACACCTAAATGTGAAGTATCTTAAATACTGGTGGTATTCAGAAGTATACACCCTTTCAAGTGTCAAATGTAACCAGAATCCCGTTTTTGTTCTCTTGTATTAAACAGATTTTATCTCAACTTTTTGACCGGTTGTTCTTATTTCTACGTTTTTAGAGGTTGTAGCACCACAACGGAAATGTGACAGACGGTTATTGAGGTCTATTGTAAGCGATAGCAGAGGTGACAGAGGCGCTTTGCTGTCTATGGCCTTGTTTGTAGCTTCAGGGCAGAGGCTGTCAGGGGTTTGACATTCAGACATAAGAAGAGAAAGCACTCTAGTGTGTGTGTGTGTGTGTGTGTGTGTGTGTGCGTGCGCTTTATTCTGTGCATGCTTCATCACTCAGAGAAGACATGTACTGGTCTGCTGGATGATTTCTACTCATTTGTGGTCATTGCACATAATAATTATGATTACATTTTTCATGTTAGGCTGAAACACAAACTCACGTGTCCTGCAGAGCAGTCAGTCCGGTTGTGGCACTTCAACATGCCTCTCAAAGTTGTCCATCAGTAAAACATTGCAAGATGTTCTCCGCCGGCATTTCTCTTCATTAGCCAGCTCCCTCACTGCGTGCAGACACCCACAGGAAATTTCAGATTGTTGAGTTGGAAGCAAAAAGATGTAGCACCGTCAGGTAATAGTTCCCTGGTCTTTATGAAAAATGAATGCAATATCTCGGACAGTCTGCCCTGACAGAAGTGAACATTTGGAGTTTTAATAAGAGAGTGGTGCATGTATGTAATGTTAAAGCAGGAAAAACGGCCTCCAAAGAGGTGTAGCTATGTAATATTTATTCCTGATTTCACTCTGAATACATTTAATGTTCTGTTCTGTGGATGAATAATAGATATTTAAACTGGTGAAGGCAGAAGCTGTACAGGTTTGTGAGCTGATCACGTGGTTTCTTATAGATCCTTTCCAGGTCGTGTGTGTCACGGCTACAGGCTTTCAGTTCAGACGTGACGTTTCTGTGTGGTCATGCACTGTTCTGGATCTTCTGGATCACTAATGTTCAGAGTCAGAAACGGGGATGGATTTGAGTTTCTGCTGTAACTGAACATGTGTGGAGTAAAACCTGCCTTATTTATGTCCCCTCAATCTTAACACAGTGACAAATGGAGCAGGCTTTTTTGTTTTAATGCATTTCATAAATAATGCACTGATTTTGAAATAATGAGCAAAAACCATTCAGAAATACAAAATACCAAATTTAGAATAATTTTTTTAAATACACACACAAATTAGAGCATGTAATCTGATAAAAAAGGGGTTAGGGTATGCATCAAGTGTTCTTCAGCCCATCTTGCCGTCACTGCTGGGTTTCTGTAGAATTTGCCCCAAAGATATTACCTTTTATATTTGCTCTGTTTACAGTTCTCTGGATATTTTAATTACTTTGTTTTTCTCCAAGTTGACTCTTTGACCTGTTTCCAAGTGATGCCATTCGATATAAGCTGTTTGATGCTTGTGCTTGAACATTACTTTGCTTTATTATGCCAACATTCTAACAGTAACATAGTAAGAGCAGATGTAAAGGGGGGGGGGGGGGGGGGGGAAACAATTTCAATAAGACGGTGTGGTTTGTATCGTCTGTATTTTACGGGTGTGACATTTTGTCTTTTCTGTCTGCAGGGTTCTGATCTGCACTCATTCCAACAGTGCAGCTGACCTTTACATTAAAGACTATCTTCATCCTTATGTTGATGCAGGCAACGCACATGCCAGACCTCTCAGGTATAGTAACACACTCACTTGAGACACACATGGTAGTGATGGGTGTGAGATGCTAGTCAAAGTCCCTGCCAATCATGTAACTATCTATTGGTCCCCTCCTGTATAACGTCCTTGCTGATGCACGCAAGCACCCCTCTGGAATTCCCTTGAGTCGGTCATTTGTCTCCAGTGAATACCTTCATTTGGCAGCTTCTTTATTTAGGGCTTATTTAAGGTCCCAAGAGGGTCTGATACCACGGAGACCCAACATTTGTATTCTGCTGTGAATTATAACGCCAACAGTAGCTGATTTCATGGTAATGTGCAGATATTGTCTGCTTAGTGTTTACTTTCACTAAAGTTGGACTCTTTTGTGACTTCTCTGTTGGCAAAGACCAGGGAACATCAGTGCGACATTACAGCTATGATTCATCTGGATCGCTGTTATTGGAGAGCCCGTGGTCAGACTAGTTCATCAATACAACTCGGAGATTGTTGAGTAACTCGACTGCTGTCGCCCCTCAGCAGAGACAAGCAGACATTTACTGACTTGTGGGATGTGAACTCAATAAGTTTCTCACCTTTTGAGCTACCTCGAGGCTGTACAAACACCTACACAGAGACAACGACCATTTCCTTTCACTGAAACCACAAATAAGCCTAAAATGTACAGACTATGGACAGAGCTGGAGCTTTTTCTCCAAACTTTTTTGCGTTCTCTTCCCTCTACAGGGTATACTTCAGGAACCGCTGGGTGAAGACCGTCCACCCGGTGGTCCAGCAGTACTGTCTCATCTCCAACACACAGGTCAACTTCCAGATGCCCACAAGGGAGGATGTCCTCAGACACCGTGTGGTTGTGGTCACACTCAGTACCTCCCAGTACCTCTGTCAGCTTGATTTGGAGCCTGGTAAGTCCTGGAAAGACAGTTGGTCATCTCAAACGTAGAAGAGCTCACAAGTGGTGGTTAATGTTGTCTTAAATGGCACATTTTGTGTAAAAGATGCTTTTGTGTGTGTGTGTAGGTTTCTGCATATAAACTCGTATAAGGATGTTGTTTTGAAGCTTCGCCTTTTTCATTTAGTTTCTGGTTATTGACTGTCGTTGCTCTGAAAACCGTCCTGCCCACTATTAAGAGATGGGCCGAATCTATTGGAGTTGTCTCAAAGACGCGCAAAACAAACCGATTTGTCAGCACAGGATAATAACTGACACTAATGTGTCCGTGGAGGGGGTTTTGTCTGTTGCTCGGCTACACCATCTGCCTGTTTCTAATGTATTGTGCATCATTAGCTCTCTTCCCCACGTGGCATCTCTCCTGCTCTCCTGGTGTTTGATGGTGATGAAAATTGTAACGAAACGAGGCAACAGAGGGATAGCAAGCCTCCTAAGTAGCAATAACAAATCTACCGCCACAAACACTTTAATTTCACGTGTTCATTTCTTCTTCAAAGCTTAGATGTGGGAATTGGCATGTGAAAAATAGAAGAATGGTTTAAACAAGTTTACAAACACTTTTGAAAGATTTCATGATCCATAAGTGATAATAAATTACTATTTTTATTATAACTTGTTGAAATAAAAGTATTTAACCCCTTTATTTTCAGTGTTGCAGAACCTTTCTAATTTTGAACTTAACATCAAGTTCTCTGCTTGTAGCAACATTCAAGGCAAGGCAGCGTTATTTGTTTTCATACACCGAGGCAATTCAATGTGCATTAGCGAGAAGAGCATGACCGTTAAAATCAACATGACAGCACATTTAAAAAACGCAAATAAACTCAGACCAAATGAAATAAACACATTTATTTTAAGAATAAGAAAAAATACAAAGTTAAAGGGTGAGCAGTTAAAGGTGCAGCATAAGAAACATTCATTCAAAGGCTGATGAATGCATGAAAGTTCATCCATCCACCCATCCATTTTCTTCCGCTTATCCGGGGTCGGTTCATAGGGGCAGCAACCTAAGTTGAGAGGACCAGACTTCCCTCTCCCCGGCCACTTGGGCCAGCTCTTCCGGGGGAATCCCAAGGCGTTCCCTGGCCAGATGAGAGACATAGTCCCTCCAGCGTGTCCTGGGTCTTCCTTTAGGCCTCCTCCCGGTTGGACGTGCCCGGAAAACCTCACTAGGGAGGTGTCCAGGAGGTATCCTGACCAGATGCCCGAGCCACCTCAACTGGCTCCTCACGATGTGGAGGTGCAGCAAGTCTATGCCGAGCCCCTCCCGGATGACCGAGCTTCTCACTTTATCTCTAAGGCAGGGCTCTTCAATTTCGGGCCTCGAGGGCCAGTATCCAACACGCTTTAGTGGTTTTTCTGGTCCAACACACTAGGTTCAGTGGTTGAATCACCTGTGGAGCAGCCCATCAGGCTCTGCAGACACCTGTTAATCACCTGCTGATTGAAATCATGTGTGTTGAAGCTGAGTTCAAATTAAAACGTGCTGGATACCGGCCCTCGAGGCTTGGAGTTGAATAGCCCTGCTCTAAGGGAGTCCAGCCACCCTGTGGAGAAAACTCATTTCGGCCACACTTGAAAGTCAGGAAAGTAATTTGGTTTAATTTAAATCTATTTGGACTCTAGTTTTGTTTTTTTCTGTGATTATTTAAACCGTTTATCTTCATATATGCCAACTAACATACTTCCACTTGTACTAATGTTAAAATATTTATTATTTTCATAATTCTGCTTTATTATAAACACTCAAAGCCATATGCCTGATGGAAATCTGTTGGTTATACTGCCTTGCTTCTGGCAAATTAAACAAAACCATCCAATGTTTTTCTCCTTTATTGATCCAATCATTTTTATTACGTTCATTTTGTGTTTTTACCCAATTTGATAGGTCGTGTTTCATCATCATACACAGGCCAAATAAAGATTGTTTTTGCCTTTGCTGACACGCTTCGGCATCTACTGCTGCCGTCGTCAGAGCAACCGCAACCAGTGGACGCCAAAACATGTCAGCAACAGTAAAAGCAAGCTTTATTTGCTCTGGGTATGATGATGATCCAGCCATTGTTGCTCTGAACAGGCAACAAAGAAGCTCGCCCACAAACGGCCAAAATAAGAGTTTGGGTTTGCTGTTTTAAACTTGCTGAATCCTCTTATCCCCTAATGCTTAATTTAACACAAGATAAAAACATGCATCATGGAAGTTGTCACTAAATTGCTTGGCTTTTTATGTATTTATATTCACTGCAGACTTTAATCCTCTCCCAGATGACTTTGCTAACATTTTTACTGCGATTGGAATAAAATGATCCAAAAAAAATCTCCAAATATTTTCAAGTGCCTCTTCTGGTTTCATCTTGTTGTCTCCTCCCAGCTTTTCTGGGTACAGTTCAGCCTAAAACGAAGAACTACCCTGCATTTCAGCTTAAATTATTCAGCTACATCTGTAACACAAAGGCTTTTGAATGCGTTACATAATTTGTTACTTCCAAGGAAAACTAAAGTAGAACATGTGAAATGTGCATATTAATAAATGTAAGTCTGTAGTTTAACAATTTCTGAAAGCTTTGTACAGGTTTTAGTACTTTATGGGTTTAGTTGGCATCGATAATGACACTTGATATTATTGGCCTTTATTGGAAGGAATCTTAAGATTTCACTTCAAATCTAAATTAGTTGAATAAACATTTTAATAATTAGTTTTCCATTGAAGATAACATGGGCTAGGGGTGTTTTGGACAGCCTCATAGTGAAACAAGCCATTTTAAATCGACCGTTTAGTTTAAAAAAATCTTAGGGAGCCAATTTTTAAATGAAAATAAAATTTGCTTTTGAATAATTCATCTAGCGTTTACTTTTAACGAGCTTGGAAGAGGTGTTCTTCGTGTTTTTATTCTTGCCCTTCTACAGTGTAAAAAAAAACAGCAACGTGTCTGACAAAGCTGAAATCCTCATCAAATTGAGCGTTCCTCTCCCACAGAAGGCACTGCCTCATAACTGCCTCAGACACCTTGTTTAGAATCCAGGCTTTAGGCCTTTATGTAACAGCAGCACCATGAAACAAAACGCCTCATAGCCAGTGTAGCGATAAATATAGATTTAGATCTATATTTCAAATGTGGCGTAGATTTAGCTTCTTTATAATCTTATATTAATTAATCGGGGCACCACCAGTTTTCGGAACTGGACCGTTGGATTTAATATCGATATCTTCGCAATGTAATCGGTCTCAGAGTTAACACCACAAAATAATCCAAAGGATGAATTCTTGACAGGAGGCACCGATTATTCCCGAGAATTGCTAGACAATGATCAGGCGTTATTTATGTTTTGTGAATTTATTACAACATCAATTAATACATTGACAAAAGGACCAAACACAGCTTATAGTTTCATGCATGGAATTAAGAAAATGGTTAACCCAAAGCTTTATGGCAGTGATAGGAAATAACTGATCCGTAATAAAAGTGTAAATTCGGTGACACCAGGATTACAGAAAAAGGGGGAATAATTTCTAAACGGGGACAAAGTGAAACGTTCATGTGGGTTTAGGTGAAGTAAGTGTGTGTGTGTAAAGATTCGTTGCGGCAGAAAGAGAAGGTAAATCTTGAGAGCATCCCCCCCCCCCACACACACACACTTTTTCCAAAGTAAATTTTTGTTCCCTGCACTTTTTACCATCCAGAAGCAATATTACGCTACATTAAATAAACACTGATTGAGTACTAGGACCAAGTCGAAGACAAGTGCTTGTGTGAACGACAGTTTCCCGTTAGAACCGCCCATAAGCTCTAGCCAGGCCTGTCAGACTCGTCCTCCGTTTAATTCTGCACAGAGAAAGTGTCTGGTAACTCACAGGCATAGAGGCACATGTGGGGCGGGACTAGCCAGCTCAAAAATAACCAATCAGAAAAAAGGCAGAAATGCCGACTGTCCCGGGCAACGCTGTCGTTTTTTAGCTGCAGTCAAAAATGGCGTCTGGCGACAGCACAAACATCTTTCTTTAGAAGAAAGGCTTTTAGCGCTTCTACTTGTTGAGGTTTTAAAGACATTCAAGTCATTTAGACCAGAGGAAAGAGCCGCAGCGAACTCCGCTTCAGTCGCCATGTTTATGACAAACTTGGCATTGTGGTGTGTGACGTATGCTACTCATCTCTGATTGGCTCGATTAGAGTTCTAAGGGGGTGGGGTTATTTGAACAGGAGCGTTCCCAGACCCTTTCTCTGTGCAGAATTAAACAGAGGAGGAGTCTGGCAGGTCAGGCTACATAAGCTCATCCATTGGCTCTGCTGATACTTGCTTGCTTGTTACTGCCACCTGTGTACTTGACAGTTCTGCATTCATGACATTTTATAAAAGGGCCTCTAGGTTGTAGTTTTATACATATTTTTTTGAATACTTACTGTAAAGATCTCCATGTCCCCCCCCCCCCCCCCCGTCCCCCAACTCAAAACTACGTCCATGGCTGTATCAATATAATGTTGGATTCCATGTTGTCGTTCTTTTGTAAAACACAGAAACGGTTTTGTTACCTGTTATTGACGTTACAAAAGAACAACAACGTGGAATTAGAAATAACGCACAGCAAGAACACACCTAAGATAATGTTGGATTGTTGTTAAACTAGTGATTTACACCCCCGTTTTTATTGGCAAGAACCTGGTGATACAATACTTATCACAAGGCCAGGGAGACGTTGCGATTGATGACGATACTAAAAACCAGATAATGTTTACAATTTTTATGACTGAATTTAACTGTGAAATGCAGGCCAGACTCTTCCAAGACAAATCCAGTGTTTTTGTTGAAACTGCTGACACCCAGTAGTCGGAGTTTAAACCACACCACGCAAAAGAAATACAGTAAATGTTTACATGTAAATGCTCGATAAAAATAGTACACCGTTTCAGTATCATAACAAAAAATATCTCTGTATTTCAGTGTTACATTTTCTTA